AACAAAATGGCGACTCGTCGCAGAGAGTACACACGGAAGACAAGGACTGTTCAAGTGCGGAAATGCTGGCCGTTCTCCGGAGATCTTATTCAATCGGTTCTTCCTCCGATCACCGTCGCTAAATTCCGGTGGTGGTCGCATGAGCTAACTTCGCTTCTAGCGAAATCTCCGGTGACGGTAGACGATTCCGAGCCGGCGTTTCGTCGGAAGCCCAAACCTAAGTCTAGACCGTGTAAGAAACGCTCCATCGTCGAGATTTTCGCGGCGGCGCCGCCGATTCAGTTACCTCGCAGGGAAGATGAAAGGGATGACGATTCGGACGTTTTAATGGGGGGAAAGAGAAAGAGAACGAAAGATCTTATGGTGAAGAAGAAGAAGATTAAAAGCAATAAGTCCAAAGATTCCGGCGACCGGAAATATGCTAACAAGGTTCATATAATCTTCAATTTGACTTATTAGCAAATTGAATTCGTCCTTCTCTATGTTACATTATTGGCTTTGTTTTAGCTCATTAGTATCCGTGTATACTAACACTAGTGAGTTTGGTGTCTGCACATTTGCATTTCAGGTTAAAAATTGCAAAGAACAAGTTGGAGAAATTGTGGATGGTGGTGAGAAATGTAGTCTTGGTGTTAATGGAAGCTCTGGTGTTATGTTTCTTAGTAGCAACAAGGATGGATCAGTAAGAAAAGATCAGGATTCTGAGTTTCAGATTCCTGGGATTTTGAAGGCGAAACGAAAAGTTTGCTCTGTGAGGAATTCTGATAAGTGGAAAATTTATGCTCCTCAGTGTTATGAGAGGCATGTCAGGTTCTCTGATCCAGCTCAGCTGAAGAAAGATTTCGCCTCTATGGAGCTTTGCTGCTTGGAAATGAACCGGTTGAGTCTCTTTTCCCCCGAGGATCGATCGTGTGTAAGCGATAAGAAGACCAAGGTTGTGTTAAATGATCAGTTGAGTGCCGGTATGAAGTTAGAATGTATGCAACAAAGCAAGTTTCAGCCTGCGGCTTCAGAAAGACGGTTAAGTCATGCTCGAGGAAAACCTGTCTTGCAGTGTGTTCCTGGACCATATCCTAGTTCACAGGAAAGAGTAAAAGGACATGCGGCTCAACCTGTCCAATCATTTACCTCTACATCGAGTGAGAGCCAGTGCAGAACTGAACCTACTTCAACAGATATGCATTGCCGGACATTGCTGTACCAATCACCTTTTGATCCACTTCTAGTTGAAAGGATGCAAAAACCTTTTTTATATAGGCATGTGGACGAGTCGATCTTACAAGGTGAGCTAGTTGAAGCAAACAGAGAAGGTTGTAGAAGTTTTGATCGGTCAGGTTTAGTTACTGGTTCCTCTAGATTTGCATCTGCAGGAAATGATCTTTTACTCGGGAACTTAGTCGACTTTTCAAGTGGAAAGAATCATTCAACTGAGCCAGCAATTGCCAAAGACAGGATCCCAGTGCTCAACGAGAGACGCCGGTATTACTTTCCAGCTAGGCTAGGAGTTGATGAAACCTTCACTGAGAAAGCATCTTCCATCTCAAACAATAACGAGGGAGAGTTCGGTCAAACTGTACATTCCCAAGTTTCTCAAGTCAATCTGATGAGCAACACAATCAATTTGTCAAAGCAGCAGAATGGTCTGAATCAGAACATAAATATGGTTGCAAATCCTGATGGTTTGTGTTTACATAACACTCAACCAAGAATGCGACTGATGGGTAAGGATGTTTCTGTTGGCACAAGTTACTCAGATATGGTTAGAAAGGGCGAGAGGGTCGTAGCACCGACGCATACTCACCAGAGCTGGCTATGTCAAAGGATAACACTTGGAATTTCAGAAAATTACTCACTGGATAAGAATTGGAACATAACTAAATTGTGTGATACTTCAGAGGATCCATTTCCTTTGTTTTGTGAACCACATATCAGCTTGGCTACTCAAGCAGGAACAGCTTTTGTTCCTGATTCAGAATTTCCTCCCACAATCTTGTATCCGTGTGGTTCACTCGTGTCGTCTTGTCCATTGACTGATAAGGTCAATTAGTGTCTTTCTACGGGTCCAAGTCATCTTCTTGCATAAATGTTGGAAATGCAAAGAAGAGATTAGCATCTGTAGAGGAATGTCCAATGAAGAACCAGAAAATCCCCAAGTTTCCAATGCAAGGTGGCTTAAATTCTGAGAAAGAGTTCTTTGCGGGCCACCAAATTAGGTAATAAGAAACAAAAAAATCAAATG